AATCTGGATCAGTCTGTATCAGATCCGTTGCAGCCCCTTTTTAAAGAGATTTGGGTATGGAGGAAAATAGAGGGTTGTGTTTTCTGACACTTGGTGAGTTCCCTGGAACACCGGGGACACATATTCATGTTCAAAAGACGTACAAAAGTGCATTTTGCATGATAGGTCACCTTTAAGTAACCTTTCATCATTCATCAATAATTAACATTAATATAACGTTATATTGATAACTCACTAAACTTACAATTCATTTAACTAATTTTCTTCCAAAAGTTAATTATCCAAAGCCTCTGTCCCCCCATAATGCTGAACCTGAACCAGCTTTTCTCCCAACTGAAGGAGGTGAGCAGCATTGTGTTGAATTACATGCCACTTAACATATCTGAAGGGAGACTGGAATACAATATATGTATATATATATATATATATATCAAAACAAAAAGTTAACATCTCATTTAAATTATACATTTCAAACACAGTATTTTCCCACATATTTAAGTTATATTTATTTGGATTGATGCATTCGTGTTGAGAATGTTCCATTCAAAAAATGTATTATTAAAAAGGCATTTACACCATAAAAGATGACTATTGAGATCTATTGTCAGGAATGTTAGTCTTGTATGGCCAGAGGGCAGGACCTATAAACACATTTACTACCCAATAGGATTGTGAGGCTGAACCACCTGGAGTAAATCCACAAGCTACCCTGCAGTATACAAAGTCATTCAGACTAGCTGCACCTTTACCAGCTTTGAGAACACTTTAATGATCAATCATTATAAAACATATCATATATATTATTCTGAAATGGACCAATCTACAGAATGAGTACTTGCTTTAAGTATATTTTGATGATAATACTTTTCTCCTTGAGTAACATTTTGATTGCAGGACTTTTACATGTAACAGAATATTCCTACACTTTGGTACTTCGACCTTTACTTGAGTACAATATCTGAGTACTTTTCCCACCTCTTATCCCAGCCTAAAATCCACACAGTAAATAAAGTGTGTTTTGTGTGATTTACCCTCTCCTCTCTGGGTGTCAGGTCTCTGGGTGTCTCCTCTTAGGGTGTCTCCTCTCAGGGTGTCAGGAGGTCTCATGGTCACACTCCCCTGCAGGGTGTCATGTCTCTGGGTCACACTCCCCTGCAGGGTGTCATGTCTCTGGGTCACACTCCCCTGCAGGGTGTCATGTCTCTGGGTCACACACCCCTGCATGGTCCTCAGCTCGCTGTGCAGAACTTGGATGTTGCTCTTCAGCTTCTTGATCTCATTTTCTCGCTGACACATTTCCAGCCTCACCACCACCATGTCATCCTCCACCACTTTGGAGATCTCTGCCACGGCTGCTTTGGACAAGACATCGATTATGGAGGCAAGCTGAGCCCGAAGAGCAACGCTAGTAAACATTGTGATTTAAAAAGAAAACAAGGCGACAAAGTGACAGGGAAGGCTGAAGTTGAAACAAGAGAAGTGAGTGTAATTACGTCGGGATGGCTAACAGAAACGGGCCATTTCTGAAGCAGATAACCGTATATAAACGGCAGCTATTTAGGGTTTAAATGTGCAGCTAACAGCAGCAGCTAATTGCTACAAAGAATAAACACAAGTGCTCGCTTTACGGAAGTGATGACATAAATACCGTAAAACCAGGCGGAGATGCGCAACGTATATTACTGAGGCACTTCCGAGGTCAGACACTTTTTCTTTTTTTTTAACCAACAATAGTGTTAAAATACACACACACATAGAAATCAGGTTATTTATTTCACTCGCTATTCTATATCGTAAATGTTTAAAAATAGTATAATACAGGAAATAATCCATGCATCAGTTCCCTACAAAGTAAATACATGACAGTATTGTGTGTATCAGACAACTTTTATTAAAAACAATGAGAACCACTAACATACTTTAAAAAAGTTCCTTTATCTCCCAATAAAATATTATTTCCTTCAACCACATCCATTAACTCATAACATACAAATCTAAATAAAGTATAACATATATAATAAATACATTCAAGGTACAAACATGGTACACAATCAAACACGTTTGGAAAAATAAGCAGGCATATAATACATAAACTCATTTATAACCTTATTTTTTAAAGTATTCTTTTAAAGAAAAAAATATATACATTTATTTTACATCAGGGTTAAAACACCTAACAAATCCAACTGAAGGCCTTTTGAAGTTCCTTCAAGGCCCAATTCCCTGTGTACGCACCAACATTGCATAGTTTGACACACAAATCAAGGTACAGACAATCTTTATGGAATAAAATGAAAGTGACTGCGAGGAGACACATGCAGACAGCAGGAGGAAGCCATATACTAACGTTAAAGGTAGGGTAGGTAAGAATGGAGATACCAGCTCGAGTACAAAACCGAAAAAATCTGCCCCTTCCTTCAGACTTCCTTACAGAGCCCCTCCTCCAACACACACGAACGCGCACATGACCAATGAGAGCACGAGATAAGTTTGTGCACAGATGGAAGGCTGACAGGCAGGTAGGCCATCCAGTTATCTGACCCGGGCCGGGGCAGATAACTGGACTTGATTTGTTCAGCGCAACGGCTTCCACAGATGACTTTTTGTTATGTATTTGTTGTCAAAGCATTTAATATATTCATTTGCTATCGGATGTTAAGAGCATTCCATGGAATATAAAAAAAAGTGTTTCTGAAGTGAATTACCTTCTACCCCACCTTTAAGTGAAAGAAAGATTTTTATCCTTGCACAAAATATACAAACTCAAGCCTTTTCAATGTTCCATGTCTATTTTCAAAAACATCCCAGACCCAAATGTTCCTCTCAAGTTAACAATCTTTCAAGAATCTCAAGGAAGTTAAATGTATGTCTAAAGATACAAAAATCCTGCAAGGGAAAAAAAGAATTTAAGTTTGAACTCTGAAGGCAACATTTAAAAAAATAAATGGGAACATTGACATTTAATGTACAAAAAAGAAAATCTCTTAATATGAATTTAATTTACGTTAATTTAAAACACAAATGGTTATTGCATAGGCACTCACCCACTCTCCTTCTACTATGAAACAGAGGGAGTTTGGGCTTTAATGAATTTCATAACTACAAAAAGTGTGTTTAGGTTAGGTTGGGCAACATCATGAGTCTGCACCTAAACATATGCAGTACATTGTTTAATTATAATGTTCCTCACCAATGGTGTGGCCACCCTGAAATGCAACATTTACATGTTATGTTTGTATTAAATGCATTAAAACTGTCAAAGTACAAGATGTAAATTGTCTGATCGCTATCTTCCTTGCAGGTGGATCTCTTGATGTATTTTGAGGTTACCCAGCACCGTGAAGCTCTTCCCACACTGTCCGCAGCTGTAGGGCCGCAGCCCGCTGTGGAACCGCTCGTGTCTCATGCAGTTATCCTGCCTCGAAAACATCTTGCCGCAGATCTTACAGCTGAACGGCCTCTCCCCCGTGTGCACGCTTTGGTGCGTCTTCAGCCGGGTCTTCTGGGTGAAAGATTTCCCGCATTCGAGGCACCGGTAGGGTTTAAACGTCTGGTGGGAGGCCATGTGCACCTCTAGCTGAGACTTGCGAGGGAAACCCCTGTTGCACACCGAGCAGATGAACAGTTTCTGATTCGTTCTCCAAACATTCATGAGCCTTTTTGCCCTTTGGTTGTTTACATTGAGGATGTGCCAGTCTGTGTTGGACCCTAATGTATCTGCTGGGGACCTCTGTGCATGAGGCGGAGCTAGTGACGGCCCGGCATGTTGAGAAGCAGACTCCAAACACGGATCCTGACTGACTGCAGGATGTGGAGCGTGTCTGAACTGCTCATTGTGAACAGCCGTACTTCCCATGCACATAGGTCGAGTCTCTACCTCTAATTTTATCGGCACATTTAAAGAACCACCTGCGATTTCCTGTGCTGCAGAAGCTGAAGAGTTATAGGAGCTTTCTGTGTTTCTGTGAGCAGCGTATTGCTCAGTGTCAGGGGGGGAAATCTGCATGTTCTGCTGCATTGCAACAGAGCTTTTATCAAACATGCTGCAAGCAGGAGGAGGCCACATCATGTCATCTGGCTCTCGCGCCTCAAAGCTAACGTTTGCTGTTACAATGTTTTCTGTTTCCTGGGTGAAGGGTTCTTCTTCTGCAGGCTCGTGTTTCACCGCTGGCTTCATGTCGTGGATCTCTTCTGTTACGTGTCCCGGGTCGCACAGGGAATGAGCAGACCTTGGGTTCAGGTACACTCCACATGCTTCCTGATGTTCTTGTTGGTCTGCAACTGAAAGAAAGATTGCAGGTAGAATTTGACAACACAAATGCAAGTCAACAGTAAAAATGTGCAAATTGTGTATAAAACATCTGGATAGAAGCGCTGAAAAATACGTACATGCTTTTTACAAATCAAGATATCAAAACAAGTCTTTATAAGTTATTATTATATAAATGTTGCTGCATCTATAAAAGAAAAAAGCTAAAGTTTGACACAAACATCATCATGCACATTTTGCCTTTTTCACATTTCTTTTGATATTTGTACTAATCAAACAGATGCCCTTATCTCAAAAGTCATCTAGCATCATTATCCAATATGTTTTACTTTGAGAATGGCAGTTTATAGACCAAATGAAAACACAATCTAAGATGTCTACTGAATTCCATGTTATATAACCATTCATATATTTATTTCATTTGAATATTTAGAGGACTCACTGCTCCATAGTTTCAGTTTCTCCCTCTCCATAACCAAGAACAATTTGCACAACAGCTACCTTGCACAACTACAATTGATATACTATCCTATGTCTATATTTCTGTTGCTGTAGTATTTTAGTGTTTATTTAAATGTATCCAGAATAATTTATATTGTGTTTTGATTGTGATAAATGTATTTTCAACTGTAGATATGTATATATTTGTGGTTTATGTTTATCTTAATTCTATTATGTTTATACTTTATTCCACCTTCCGGAACAAACTGCTGCTGTAACACAAGCATTATCAAATTTGGGATAAATAAAGTATCCATCTACCTACCTATATATCTATCTTTCTACATATCTATCTATCTATATATATATATATATAGATATAGATAGATATATAGGTAGGTAGATGGATACTACTACTACTACTATATATATATATATATATATATATATATCTGCCTGCCTACCTACCTACCTACCTATCTATATATATCTATCTATATATATATCTATCTACCCATCTATCTATCTATCTATCTATATAAAAAATGGGATATATTTTTAAGCCGAATTTAAGAGTACCATATAAAGCCGTTAATGATCATAATGTATGGTCTTTCCAGCAATCACTGTTGTTAAATCAGGATATCACAAAAATATTGTTATGATAGTAAACGTTATTATTTGTTGTTATTATATAAACGTTGATGCCTCTATAAAAGCAACACAACTACAGTTTGACACAAACATCTTGGACATTTTTAACATTATATTATGCATGTATTTCTTACAATCTATTAATAAGTAATAGTCTACTTACTATATTCAAATATGAGATTCATATTCAAGCCGAATTTAACAGTATACCACATAAAGTCAATACCAATCATAATATATGATTTACCAAGCAATAACTATTGTTTATAGCAACACAAAACCAGAATTTATGTTTTTGTGAATGCACTTTGGCGTGGAAGGTCTCTCCAAATGTTGCTCACCTGTTCTAAGGACCTGATTCCCGGCTGCTGTTTGCTTCTGTTTCTCCTCCATTATTGCCCGGATGTTGACTGCTTCTTGGGCTTTGCAGAGCTCCACCTCCATCAGCTTTAAAGTTCTCTTGAGCTCCTGGATCTCACTGTCCCTCCGACACATCTCCAGCCTCAACACAACCCCCCCCTCTTCCACCAGCTTCGTTATTTCTGTGACTGCAGCCTTCGCCAACATATCCATGATGGCGGACACCTGCAAACCGAAAGAGGAGGGCAAAGACATGCTGCAGAGGGACGATAAAAAGCAAGAAAAAGCAAATGTCAAGATTTATTAAAAGAGCTGGGGCTTCTGCTGTTTGGCGAAGTACCTTTCCAGATGTTTTATTTTGGTTTACTTCCGTGAAAATGTCCAGGCGGATGTGACGTAAATGGCAACTGTCGTAACTCTTCTCGTAAACGCGAACGACAAATCCTCTCAAATCTATCTCTTCCTGCTTCTACCTCCTAAACAAACGCGATTAAATAATAGCCTTGTAAAAAATAGTGCAGGTACTGGATATTAAATATGTTCTGGTTAAGTGTATGATTCATCTTTTTGTTAAATATATACATAGCGAAACATTTAAATAAAAGGGACCATTATTAACCTGCATTGACTTTACAAATCCTAAACCAGATTTTGAATTGTGAATTCAAAGTTTCATTTTGTAGCTATCTGGATATCCTGAAAGGTAGACAAAATAGCCGCGCTATATATTTGTTTAAGTGTTTTACTTTAACCCTAAACCGGAATTATTTACCTAATACTATTAAATGACAATTTAATCCCTGTAATATATTAATCATACCTCGACTGTACATTTTTAAAATAAGTGACACTTCGAATAATAATAATGACAGACAGCATCTTAGAAACTATTATCTTTATTCACATAATCCCTAACAATGTATTTAGCAGACATTATAACTTTCACAAATTACACATTCACTCTTCCAAATGTACAATTTAACCATATACTTGCAAACCGTTCATTTACTGCAATGTATTGTATAATTGGATGACAACTGCAAACAAAGAGTGAGCTTATTTAATTAATTTAATTTCTACTTCTAAACTTTTACAGAGATAAGTTGTGCATGTAATATGTTAACATGTTTCAGCAGCACAATTTGTATTTAATCTCTGTTCGCTTTTGACAATGACAGTACAGTAAGTACCTTTGTTGCATATCATCCCCATTTCTTAACTCTCTGAAAATCCTCCTCTGAAAAATATCCTATATATATTTCTAAAAACCTACAAGTTCCTGCCTGCCTATCAAGTTGTGTGTGGTAGAAAAAACACAAAAGCACCCTTAAGTAGCATTGCATCTGCGGCAATACCTCCACTCAAAATAATACAGCCATATATGCTACACGTAGAAAAATAGTTTGTACAGTGGAAACACAAAAGAGACACTTTACTGGACTTCATTTCCCCAATCCTTCTGCCTCTCCTTCTCCTTCTCGCACTCTTTCTCTTTTCCTCGCCTTATGGTCGCTATAGCAACAGCCTCATCGAAACACATGCTGAGAGGACTGTTTCTACTTTCATCCCCTTCCATCCTCTTCTCCCTCTCTTGTGTTGTCTTCTCTCTTTTCTCTTCCTCTCCGTCTCCTGCACCGTCCTGCTCTGATGCACCTCTGGATGCGTTCTCTCTCTCTCTGTCGGCGTCTCTTTTCTCTCTCTCTGCTGCTGCTGCTGCTGCTGCCGGATGTTCAGCGCAGTGAACCTGCAGTGCTGAGGCTTCGGAGGCACCACCGGCACGGCTTTCACTTGGTAAACCTTCGGACTTTTAGAGATGACAATCTTCCTTCCCACCCCTCCCAAGCTGCTGTCCCCTTCCTCTCCCTTTCTGCCCTCTCGACTCGCCTCTACATCACACTTCAGCGCTTTTATATGTTTATCTATGCATAGTTGCACTTGACGTTGCTCATCAGCTTTGTCATTGTTCTCTTTGGAAGTTACTTCTTCCCCGTCTTGATGCGGATCTTCGGCAGTGATGGCGTGCTCCCCCTGAATCCCTTCCTCTGGTTCACTTGTCTTCGGTACGTCTGTCTCTTCTTCTCGCTGCACTTCTGTGTCTGGGAGTTTTTCTTCAATCGTCTCCATTGATTCCTCAACTTCTTCAACTCTGGCTTCTGTCTCGTTTGACTCTACTTCCTCAACTTCCTCTACTCTGACTTCTGTCTCGTTTGTCTCTACTTCCTCGACTTCCACCATTTCCTCTGAAACCTCTGCCCCCTGCTCTTCCTCTTCTTCTTCATCATCTTCAGTCACATCACCTTCCCCAGAAACACTCTCTCTGTCATCCTTCTCCTCCACCTGTGTACTCTCCTCATCCTCGATCACTTCACATATAACATCCTCAAGTTCAGCCCATATTTCGCTGCTTGTCCTACAAACATCACTTTCTTGCTCTGTGTCACCTCCCTGCGGCTTCTCTTCAAGTATTTCCTCAACTTCAATTCCTTTCTCAGAACTTCCTGCCGCTAAGCTCTCATCACTTTCTTTTATTTCCATATCTTCACTTTCACTCTCTATTTCTTTGAATACCTCTCTTTCCTCTCCCTCATCACTGTCTCTCTCCTTCGTTGGTGGCTCTGTTGGCGAACAGTCTCTGATCTCCTCTAAACAAGCATCATCAGCTTCTTCCTGTGTGGCATTAACCACTTCATGACTAGGTGGAGAATCGCTGTGATGATTGTCCAACATGTCCGCCTCCTCCAAAAAGTCCTCATCGATGGGCGGTGGAAAGTCGTAGAAGCAGTGAGAAAATGCTTCTGGAGTGAGAGGTTCGTCTTCGTCACTCTGAGAATCCTCCATGACTTCTTCCTCTGTTGCTTTGCTGCAGGGGAACGAGAGACAGAAACATTTCAGAAAGACATCATTGGCTTTGAACAAATGGCCAGTGTGTCTACTTTTAAATTATTGACTTGTTTATGCCAATACTTGCAGAATGACTCTTTATTATTTTTACCAATACTAACCATTTCTGCTAAAGTCAATCGTTTTTGAACCCAGTTGTTTGTGTTTTACGATATTTATGCAGATAGTAATTAATGTGTGTTTGACGGCTTATGAATTAAACAGTTACAAAGTCTCGCCTTAAACTAGCATTAATGCATTTTGGGGGGATTTTATTGCGTCTGAGGGATGGCGAAATAAACTTGAATTACAACTTTGACAAGTTATCACTTTAAAAATGCTAACTTACCAAATTGTTGTTACTTACAGTAGTCTACAGTGGGTATAGCAGAACAAGTGTACCTGCATGAATTTACTAGAAGACACTAAAATGATCTGAGGGTTCTTCACTACAAGCGACACCTTTTACATTACATGCAGTTATCTAACCTGTCGTTATTTAAAATTGGTCAAAGCAGCTTTAAGGTCGTATTCTTTGATAAATAATTGTTCACTATGACTGACAGAAATGCACTCGCATGATATGAGAGTTATTGTGTTCAAATATAATTTAAAAAATCAGCTTCACCTTTGCCCGTCGTTTTCCAGATGGTCTCTTCCCTGGTGATCTCCCTCTTCCTTCTCTGTCATCTCCTTTTCTTCAGGTCCATCTTTACCTCCTTCATCGTTCCCTTCTTCCTGCTCCAGACCCACAGCAGCTGACTCTTCCCATGCAGGGAACCCAAAGCACAGAGACTGGGGTCCTCTGTCAGCACAGCTCTGTGATTGGTGTTCAGGAACTCCACCACCAGCTTCCTGATTATCAGTGTCTCTATCAAAGGTCAAATTGTTGAAAAAGAATTCAGCGGGGAGGCTCTTTATGAACATGCTCTCGTCTTCCTCGCTGCTGTACTCATCGCTGTCGCACGCTGCTGCGTCCTCTTCAGAGCCGGAGTCCTCCAGCCTCAGGATGGGTGAGGTCAGGTAGGGCAGGCTGAGGGATTTAGTGTGTCGGTTGTACGAGTCCATGCTGAGCGGCCTCGTTGGTTTTAACTCTGTCTGGAGCTCTGAAGGATCCATGACTTCATACTCATCGTCCGAGTGACCGGGAGGCTCCACGGAGAACTCGTTCACCTGAGAGGAACAACGAAAAACTGGATGAGGAAAGAACTTACGAGATAAAAAACTTTCCCTTTATATATTTGTTCTAAATAGTATCTTTTCTATATATATATATAAGAACTTTTGAAAGAACATCCATAACATCAATCTGTTTTATTGTGTTGCACTGTTGGAGGGGCCTGTGACCTAAGATGTTCATTGACATAACTACACTGTAGCTATGCCACATGACAATGAAAGCCCTGAATCTTGAATCTTGAAATCAGGTGTTTCCCACTGATGAAAATATTACAATATTAATATGTATTACATGTAACCTACTGAATATCTGTGGGAACATCCCCAGTAAAGAGTCTGTATATTTCTGTATTCTTTATTAAAACAATCCTATGCAAACCGAACATTTCGTATGACTGCAGCTTCACATCAGAAGCGTTTAACTGGTGTCTGCTTTTATAATAAAGTAGTCCCAGGAAATGTAACTTGGTGATCAGTGATCTTTACACTGATGCGTTGATCAAATATGTTTCGAAAAAACCAGACAATGTCATGTCAGGCATTTTGTCAATTTTTTTATCAGTTTAAAATATTTAAGGCTCATTTGAACGGTCAGGATGAAGTGTCGCAGGTTGCCTCTTCACCAAGGCAACCAACTACTTCTATTTGAGCAGGCTCATGCGTTATGCAGCACAGTGATTGGTTGCTCACAGAATGATGGAGAAAGACCAATTACTGCCAGACCTCTTCATTAAAACGATGGCATATTTTTGGAGGCCAACCTCAACGTTAGCATGGCCTTGATTCCCTCGACAAAAGGTACTGGCATAGTTCCCCTAGAGTTTGGATAATGAGGTGACTTGGCTCACTGGATAACAAATATTAATACTTACACGTTTTGTTCAGCAAGATACTCTTCACAAATGAATACCACTTTTATACAACAAAGAAAAAGTGCTAATGTTAACCCACCTGGTAGGACACACTGCAGTCCATGTGATCCATGTTGCAGTCCATTTGGTCCAGGAACTCAAAGTTATCTTGAACGTATCCGGACATCTCGTGGTGGTCCCCGTCCACTAGGGTTGAGTTGAGGGCGTCATCGAACACACAACCATCATCACGCTGAGTCGCAGCCGAGTCGCAGTCAGCTGGCCGCACATCTTTCATCTCTGTAAATGAAGCATGGCCTGAGATTACAAACAATATGAGATTATTAATCATGTGGCATTAGCATATGATACTCATACGGGTGTGTAATTGGTTAAATTACCCATGTATTCATCAAGTTCATTGTCATCATCCACGGCGTTATCTTCCTCCGTGTTGGATGTCAGGCTTTTGGCTCGCAGCTCTTTGGACACAGCTTGGTCTTCCACCACCAGCTCCTCTTCCTCTTCCTCCTCCTTCTCCTCTTCTTTCTTATCTTCATCCCTTCCACTTCCTATCACCACATCCCCTTCTGCTTCCATTACTTCCTCCACCTCTCTCACTTTCATTTTCCCTCGATGACTTTTCTCCTCCTCCTCCTCAACCTTTTGTCTTTCTGCCACCTTCCTCTCCATGGCCTTGCTTTCCCTCCTCTCCACCTTCTCTCCTCCCTCCTTACCTTCCACCCTCTCCCCTCCTTCCTTATCCCTTCCTCTGTGGATGACACTGTCTCCGCCCCGTTGCAGCACCCCTAAAGCCAGGTTCGAGGTGATATGCAGGGGCACGGTCACCATGGTGGGCCCCGTGATGTGCATGGCTGCTCTCCGGCCCACTTTAGTGGAGAGTCCTGGGGATCTGGACAGTAGGGTCTCGTTTCCAGACAAGCCTTCAGGGTCCAGGGAGGTGTAGGTGCCCTGCGTCCCCGCGCCCCCGCTCACCAGCCCTGTTCCCCTGCGGTAGGTCACGGCGTATTCACTCCCACCTATCGCTCCGGGGGAGGCAGGGACCTCGGAGGCCGGCTGCGGGGAGGGGGTGACGAGGGGAGACATGTGGGTGGAGGGAGGGCGCTGGCAGGGACGTCTGGAAGCTGGAATAAAGCAGACGGATAAGTGACATGTTTGTTTTAAAGTTCAATTTGATCCAAAATACGACTTCTCCAGATCACGAACAAGTATCTTCAAACAATCCTGTCTTAAAGGGTCAGGAAAAACAAACTGGGAAAGTATTTGACCTCTATAACAAACCACCTCTGGCTGGCAGAGCTCTCTGCTCCATCGTTTCTCTTGGACTTCAAATCTCACTGTACATTTTATATATTCAGTTTAATATGTAATATTCCATCCCTCATATTTATGTATATATAATAACTTGCTTTATATTTTGTTATTGTTAATTTGTAAATTCAACATGTATATTTTCTACTTTCTTGTTTATTTCTAGTATTTTAAAGTTGTATTGTACAATGCCATGTCTTTTTATACTGCTGCAACACAAACATTTCCCAAATTGGGATCAATAAAGTACTTCTTATTTAATCTTATCTTATCTTACAGCCTTTTGTCTGTCTCTGTCTCTTTTTTTGTATGATGAGCATTACAACAAAAATATATATAACATGGCATTTGAAAATGTCAACTAGAAAGGTCTGTTTGATGATAATGATTCCAATGTTGACAGCATGTTTTGCTGATGATTTTAAATATATATAATTATTTCCTCATCATTCTGACAGAAGTTGGGAAATGTGTGACACCAGCAGTACCTTCGATTGGATACGGCGGGTTGCTGAGCGAGTCCATGCTTCTGGCTGGTCTCAAAGCAGGCATTTCTTTCTCTGAAACAAAAAACGAAACATTAAATACAAAAAGAAATAATAAGTGGGGCTCTCCATGTTTAAAGGCTGAGTCTTTACCGCACCGGCCCAGGTTTTAATCCAACCCTAAAATCTTTAAAAAGTTTAAGCTTCCTGTGTCAGCCTATGTTGTTATTATTGTGACCTAAGTGAGTAATTTACCCAAGTACACATGTCAACTTGAATGAGACAGTTTAAGATTTTAATACGTTATTGTAGAATATAGTGAACAAAAGAAAAAGACATTGCAATTTAGTTTAAAAGGAAATCATCCAAGTTAACTACCAGGACTCAAAACCATGATGAGGTAGAAATTAAAGTATGTTTCACAACTTACGAATTGAAATAATATTTTAACAGTTACATAATCACGCCTTAAACAAGCATTCATTAATGTTTGGGGGGGTTTACTGTCACTGAGGGATGGAGAAATAAGCTATAATTACCACTTTGACAAGTTATCCCTTTAAAAATGCTAACATGCAAACTTGAATGAGACAGTTTAACATTTAAATACGTTATTGTAAAATATAGAGAACAAAAGAAAAAGATGTTGCAATTTCTTTTAAAAGGAAATCATCCAAGGTAAGAGACAACTACCAGGACTCAAAAACCATGATGAGGTTATTTACCTTTCGTTGAGAGTTTGTGCCTCCGTCGTGGATCTTGAAATCGACCTCCGATGTTGAAGATGGACATCCACTTCCTGCCTTTAAGAGATCCTTTCCTCCTGAACGAAACAAACAGAATACGTTTAAATAATCTGTTTTCTAAAATTGAATTACTCAACGAAACGTCAATCATGTTAATCATGGCAGCAAACATGTCCACTTATTTTCTAAGTTTCACCGCTGCACCTTTGACCTCTGTATTAAACATGTCCTTAACCAGATCAGACATAATAAATAAAAAGAGAAATGAGTGTACTCACTTGTCGGTGCCTTCGATGATAGCGTGGTAGGGTCTCATGGGTAGAGGACCGTCTCCTGGACTGATATTACCAAAGTGATGGACAGGCCCTTTGAAAAGCCCTTCGTCCTGATTGGGTAATGCTGACGGCGAGGGGAGGGACTTCCTTCTCTCACTGGATGCATCTGAATAGGGCAGGAATAAGTCAGTTATCCATTAGCTCTTAGACTGGTTCACAACTTCTGAATTGCCACCCTGAATGTTTGAGTTGTTCAGCATTTCCTAGAGAGAGTAAATGAAGTGGTGTGTCACCTTCTTCAGGAAACAGCTGAGGCACGTGTGTGAGGATGAACTCCACGACGATGGACTGAACCCTGACCTCCATGAAGGCCGCTGTACCGTTAAACCCAGACGCCTCGATGTCTTTTGACCTTAATATGGACATTGAGTGATTGAATGTGAAAAATGAATCTATGTTGTAAACAGATAGATACATGAAAGGATGAATAAATGCATTTTATCGAAAGGAGAAAAGGGAAAGGATGAAGACAGAAAACAGATGTTATACAATCTGATAATATTATCAAACACATTATTTTATCCATCTATTACTCTAATGTTAATAATAAATGACACACGCAGCTTGTATATTTATTCAAGCAGAGTCAGGACATATTGTGTCTCAACAGAAAATAAACAACACATATATTATGTCATATTATAATATATGCAAACCTGAGCAGATTAGGGGCCCAGACGATGGCCAAGTTCCTGGAGTGCATGTTGGTCTCTGAGCAAAATGAGGCCATTTTGACCAGATGGCGCATCAGAAACTGCAGAGTCCTGATGGCAAGGAAGCGAAGCGTTAAACTCAATTCATAAAAACACCCAAAAAAGCCTTCAAAAATGTGACTTGGGCTAAAAAATCTGTTTCTATGTTGATTACATTGATACAACAAACAACATCCTATTGTACAGGGTCTCCAGGACAAATGGGGGTCTGATATATTCTGTGTATTTCTGTGTATTATAAAAGACGGTATGATTCCCAACCGACACACACTTTCCTACCTGGCTTCCTATTGGTAGAGCCCTGAAGATCTGTGTAAGCAGGAAGTCGACAAACTCTAAACAAAGAGGCATGTGGATGTTCCTATTTTACGAAATGATGTGGACTTCGAAACGTATATAATACTACTAACTGGAAGTAAACAATAATAACGAAAGTCCCCACTTTGGTGTCGCCTGCTCCTCCTGGTAAAGATGAAAGAGTGTTTAATGTAGTTTGCAGCAGAGCACAGTACCTGTGATGAGGTTCTGGTAGTTCTTTCAGAACATTTCTGATCTTCACCAGCCTCTCCTCCTCCAGCTGGAGGGCCACAGCCTCCTGGAACACACACATGTTTTCAAATCAAAATGTAAGTACAATTTATCGCCTTTACTCGACTTTAATTGCTGGAAAAATGGCACATAGGGAAATATGGGTGATTTATATATCCCATGCTTTCTTTGAAGGAGAGGTCATTTGTACCACTTTGTCCTTGTCTAAAACACTAAATGAACACATAGGAAAGGGGGAAAGGAGTGTCAAATGTTTCTGAGCTACTCACAGCGAACTTGTCATACAGCTGGTATGTGAGCAGAGGGTTGGGCAGCTCTCTGAAATAAGCTTTAGTCAGAGAGCTGACACAGTGGATGTCCTGCAGGTACAGATCCTTGTTCAGATCTGGACTCCCGTCGCTCTCAAACTCGCCCCTGGTGGTACGGACACATACAGCCAGTTAGGACAATATCAACACAACACACAAACCTAATTCAAACGTACACATTTACAGATATAGGTTCAAAGAGAGGCGCACTGCTGCAAACACACACACACACACACACACACACACACACACACACACACACACACACACACACACACACACACACACACACACACACACACACATTACCTGAGTTTCTGTATGTTGGACGACACTCCAGACAGCCTGTAGATACCGTCCACGACGCCATGCTTCTCAACAAACTCACTGCAGCATTGCAAGACCTGGGGAACTGTGGGAAATGGTGGATTAACAAAATGAATATTGACATAAGATTGATGTTCAATGTGTTAACTTTGAACATACACATATAGTCATTAAGTGACTATACTGTAGGTCACAAACACACAACACACTTTTATTTGTGTTGCATTCTTTATGGATACCTAAGGAAGACCATGTGAGTGAATAATGATGTTACATGTCAAATCAAAGCAGCTTCAGGGATGAGATAGCAATGGTATTTTATGGGTTTTTTCTGTTAAGGAAAATGAAAACGCGGAATCCACACTCCACATATATATAATCGACCCCTAAAATTAAATTAAATACTAACAACCTCACAAAGCTCACATAATTTCACCTATTGCAGAACTGGCGTGGTTAATGCTGTATGGTTTGAGTCCAACAAATAAATAATTAAAAACATTAGAAAAGGACAAGTCTTGTTTTAACGAGACACAAATCATTCATAAATGTTCTGAACAACAAGTTACTAGTAAAAAGTTGTCAACCATCATTCCTGTTGAACGCTTCTCTTACAAACTGTAGGTTGACATTTAGAGGATGTCATTTGTGGTTTTGTAATATTCACAAGAAACGCATTGTGTAACCCACGTATGTTAGCACATATTGGAGATATCTATCCATATGTTTACACCTATTGCTTGAAAATGGTATTATGATTCAGATGTATTTGGTTACACATTCACGTTGTTTCTGGTGAGGCTTCGGGCACATCTATTGCTATTTATCCATACATAAGAACATGTTAACAGGGATACGGATGTTCACTCACTCTCTTGAGAGGAGGTGGTCAGGTGCTCCAGCAGGTCACATCCAAACACCTTGTCTTTGTTCACTCCTTTCTTCCGATTTCTCCTCATCTCGGCTGTTTCAGTTCACATTCAGACCGGCCGAGCTCTTCTTCAGTGTCTGTCCGTCAAACTGTCTGACTGTCTGTCCGTCAGACTGTCTGTCTGTGTGTGTGTGTGTCTGTGTGTGTGTGTGTCTGTCTGTGTGTGTGTCTGATGGATGTGTTGTCCAACTCGGTTAACGTGACTCTGACTTAGTAGAGGCGCTGCACATTTCCCAGATCTAACCGAGCTGCTGCCGCTGCTTCTGTTTCCTTTGCTTCAGTGCATGTTGCTGGCTGCAGGTTGTTTCCTCTGTAGGCCGCGTTGCATTGGAGTTGATACGTTGAACTGTTAGGACATACTTCCACCCTGCACAAATGCAAATATAATAAGTGTCTTCGTGCAAAAACCAGCTCAATTCAAACAACAAACTGAACTGAATCCAAAGCATGCATATGTGGCTCTCCACTTCCCCCCTGATGCTCTAGTTTTTTTCGAATGAAAGGCCACACCCTTGCGTCTTTACTTCTCCTATTCAGTGGAGTTGGCCTCTGAATGTTTCTCTAATCACACCGTAATGTCTCTCTGTGCTGGTGGATCTATATAAACCTCCACCCTGAGCCCCAGCCTGACGGAGGAGCTCAGTTCAGCCCGGTCGTTCCTTCCTCAGCCGCATGTCACAGCCATTGTGGCCCCTTGTTTCACTGCAGCGGAAGTCAAGCACTGAACATATAGACTTACACAGACATTCAAACTCAACACCCATCCCCTCCATCTTCCTGACACCTGCCACTGCTCTACTTTTCTCCACCATCATTCTCTATATGTACACTTTTGGAAACGAGTTTAAAATGTGATGAAATAAAGAAGTTTAAAAGCCAGTGTTCCTACCTTCACTCTGCATCGGCATACAAGAAGCATAAAATGATGACGCAAGAAACCGCTTTACTTCCCCTGTTAACTTCCTGAGTGTGTCTCCTTCTCTTGCGCTTTCTCTCTGTGTGTGGCTCACGGTTTCTCCACCTCTGCTGATTTAGTAGGGAAATCAGTTCAGTTTATCTGTACAATGCATCTATTTCCCTTTCTGTGCAGCGTTTGTCATTGTGTAAAACGACCTTTGTGTGTGATTCTCACCCTGACAGCAGGAATTGGAAAGTACATGTGCATATGAGACCAATACAACACCTTTTAGCCCATTTTCTTTGACTTTGGTATGAAAATACCATCTTCTGCTAACTTAAGCACAACACAAGACCTCAGTGAGTTTTGTAGAAGTATCACAAAGTACCACAAAGGTTTCAGAAGTACTAATACAATGACCTACAATCACTTCAACATGCTACAACTAAAAAGTGTAATAAGTGCCCTTATGTAAAAACTACATTTCAAGTAAAAGCTGTTGATTTAAAAATCTACTAAGCAATGATTAACTCTTATATACTTTAAGTATAACTTCTGTGGTAATGGTATGGTTATGCAGTATAGGTAAAGTAGCATAACATGTTAAATAACTACTTAAATTAAGTAAGTAGCGGAAAATGTGGTTTGAGCAGAGTGGTGTTTTTTGGCACAAGTTAGTTGGCATCAGTGTTCCATATAGTTTGCAAAATTGTATCGGATATAATATTAATTAAAACTGCGGTCGCACTTGAGCGCGCAGTGATGAGCGGGCCCTCGCGTCCGTGCGCCTGTCGGGGAGGGCGGCCGGTCGTCCCGGCGTCAAGCAGACGCGCGCGAGTCCTCGGAAATGAGCCGTTTGTCATTTCTCTAATTTTCGCGTCCCAGGTCCTCCGGCATCGACCGGGAAACGGATGTTGGCGCGCCGTCTCGAAGGAAAACAAATTTCTCTAAATGCTCGTCGAGGATCGATATTCGAGGAGGCTGTCTGGAGGTGCCGTAACCGAGGATACACTGATTTAGAGGAGAGAGGAGTCTCTCTGGAGGAGCTATAACCGAGGGTACAACGATGAGAGAGGAGAGAGGAGTCTCTCTGGAGGAGCTATAACCGAGGGATGTATCCTCCGGAGTCGATTTCAGCCAACAGTGATGTTTAAAAGAGGCGTGACGCATGGCTGGACTTATGTCAACGAAGCACAGCTCTGCAAACTGTTCCCGTTGTGATTATAAGTTATTTGAGATGATAAAATGTGCATCAGACTTTCTGCCCTTTACCGTTTGTTTACTCACTAATTACATCTCCCCTGGATGTTAGGCTATTTCTTTTTTTAATACAACTGCTTTCATTGTAACACGATGTTTACAGTGAGAACAGCTGCTGAGGTCAGTGCAGAAACAGAACAGTGTGTATAATATATATATATCGCTCAATAATATATGTAACAGGCAGCCCACATTTCACACTTTATTTGTAGGCTTTAGGAGATATCTACAAATAAACAGGAGGGTTAAGGTTAGGGTTAGGGAGTGTATCGGTGTCTGTTGTAATGAATATGCCCCCAGCAAAGGGCGTTGTTGGACTAACAGTAGGTATGTGTGTGTGTGTGTCTGTGTGTGTGTGCGTGCGTGCGTGCGTGTGTGTGTATGTGTGTGTGAGAGAGTTGATGGTGCAGGCAGACAGGCGGGTCTCAGTAGCTTAAAGTCCTTATCTTGCGTAATTTACTGTAGCTGAAAGATCATAGAACTGTTTCAAAATGCATTAACTTGTTGGGTCTTATTCCAGTAACACGTGATATAGATCGAATATCGTTTCCTATTTGCTGTAAATCACTTGTTAATATCGGGAAATATGGGTCAAATTCAGAGGTATCCCCAGAAAGTCTGGATTCAAAACTTGGCCGCTGCTTGGTGGCTGCTGGTCGTGACGTCACGTGTGGTTCCGCGAATCCTGGTGAGTTCAGCCGCGTTCGCCAGCCACACCAGTGTAGCATTGCTGTTAGGGCCGCCATGTCAACTTTGTGTACCTCAGCTGTTTATCATCGTCACACGCAAATAATAGTGTTGCTGGCTCAAAATTGTGCTCGAAATACCCTGCGCTATTAGCCGCTTTTTCTGATGCGTAAACATCAAACCAATTTGACGCCATTCTTTGCGTTGTGAACTCTGCGCTGCTCGGCATTGGCTGTCGATCCGGCAACCGGCAGCAGGGATGCCAGACAGCGGGACAGCCGGGAACGCAACACGTGACGTCACGAAATGGTCTGATTCCGAAGCAAAGTGTTTTATTGGCACCTAATTTTTTCGCTTTTTTACATATTATTCAGTAAATGAAAAAAGAAACATACATTGACTATCTGTTGCATACACGCCCCCAAGAAAATGCAACTGGCCAAAAACAGTTTTTAATGTAGATAAGGACTCTAAGGTAGTAATGTGACATATAATGGTAAAAAATGGTACATTTCTCAATTAGCTTACGAGCTCCAGGTACAAGCGATCAACCTATTCCTTGCGCATGTAGCGCATCAACATTGGATATGGGCGCTAAGTTGCCATAGACTTTGAATTTCCGCAAGATCATTTGCCGAAGAGCGAATCTCAGCACAAAGTGTGCTAAAAATCATGAAAAAACGGGCCATTTTTCAAAAATGGCCAGGCTTTGCTGGGGGGCGGGGCTATGAAAAGCAATTTGAAATATGTGTTATCATAATAGCAGATGTGTATACAGCATTTCGTGAATATTCGGAAAAACTATATGGCGAGGCAGTTTGGAGGCAATTTGGCGACATGTAAGATCGTCAAGATGGTTATTCGGCTGTTAAGCTTACGACCTCCAACGAGTGATTTTTTCCAATGTGCTCGCAATAAGTACTCATATTGGACTAGGGTGGGCCCCTGAACTTGTCCCTGGATTAGGAATTATTTCCGATCATTTCCCTAGGAGGAGTTGGGCAAGAATGTGCTAAATGGCTGAAAAAGCGCACATTTTCAAAATGGCTGACTTCCTGGGTGCAGGGCTTATGGAAAGGCAACTTTGAAATATGTGTGCAATATCATAAAATAGTAGAATGTGTCTACAGGGCGTTTCGTGATATCGGAAAAACTATAGGGGCGAGCAGTTTGGAGCAATTTGCGCCATGTAAATCGTCAAAAATGTGTATTCGGCTGTTAGGCTATGGAACCTCCATGTGGAGTGATTTTTCAAAATTGCTCAACAAATTAAGCTATGCATACATTGGATAGGGGCCCCTGAACCTGTCCGCATTGGAATTTTCGGGCCAAAGATCATTCCTAGGAGGAAGTCTCGCAAGAAGTGCTGAAAAATGCTGAAAAACGCACATCTTTGCAAATGGCCGAGCTTTCAGGGGGGGCAGGGCTAATAAAGAGCCAATGTGAAATATGTCCGGCAATCATGAATAGTAATGTGTATTGTTAGAAATTAAATCAATGTTTTAATGGGGAAATGTAGCTTAAACCATGCCGTCAGTTTAATGCAGTTTTTAGCACTGAAAAACGCAAAATTCTTGGCACAACCAGCTGTTAAGCTTTATTCGAAACTCTTTCATCTGCCCCCGTTCCAGGTATAAGGCATGTGGTAAATGTACAATTTGCCTAAAGAGGTGAATTTAGTAGCCGACAATGATATGGAGTAGTGCA